AAAACCTTATTAATCTCACGTTAAAAAAAAATTAGAAGCTGATTAGGTGTGTTTGGATACACCCTCTATAGTAAGGGCAAAAATAGAATGTTTTTTGAAAAACTATAGGCTAAAATCGTTTTTGTGCTGCCGCTTTAATATAATAGATATTTGATCCAATGCTTCCTAATTAATAGTATAAATCTACACTATTAATATCATAAACTTTTATAGATTGGTAACATCGTTGATAAATATTTCTCGTTGCAAAATTGTAATATCGTTGATAAATATTTATAATTTTAGTATTTACCAACCCGCAAATATTTAATTTTATTTAAAAACATGTTATTTCTATTATTAATTTAGTTTAGTTGCTAATAATTTAACGTTTACATCTATACTATTAATTGTTTACATATTACGATTTGACAAAAACAAAATATTAGATGGAATGTATGTCGCATATTTTTTTGGCTATGTACTTAATTTGTTATATTTGGTAAATGAGAAAATATCGGAATATATTTATAACATAAATATTATTACTTAGATTTTACTCTTAAAATATTTTGTATTTTTTAATTAATGACATTCGATTTATGTTGAATTTTTTGGTTTTATCTCTAACAAATTGAAAAATACAAATTCGATTTATATTCGACATAAATATATATTGATGCTGAATATTCATTTATTATTTAATATTTAATGTTGCTTCCTTTTTTATTTTTGTAGACAAATCATACCAAAAATATTGACGAAGCAAATCTCGGAATATATTGAATCATTTAATCCCGTTATTTGTTTTTGCAAAAAAATTAATGAAGGATCTGAATCAAATATATTTATTTAGTTGTAGTAATTGTTTATTTACTAAATTGCCCATGTAAAAATTTATTTAGTTAATCTTAAACTACCCTCACAATGTTGTAGTTCACAAAATGCTTCCCAATTAATAGTATAGATCATAAAATTGTTTATACAATGATTTGCTCCACACGTGCAACATCAGAACAATTAATTAGAGAATGTCTATAAATAAAAGAAACAATTAGTGACATTAAACATAGATATGAATTAGTAAGGATGAGAGGAGTTGATCTCTTACCATGGATGTAATAAGGTCATGGGGTAGAGGCCATGACATTTTGTTGACTTCATGTTTCTCAATTCTTTGGGGCATTTCCATTGAAGGGAACTAATGACAATGTAGAATTGTTTCTAGTTTCGAGTGGATTTTCAAATTCGATAAGATTGCTTAGATTTCTCTTTGCTTGACATGGTAACCCTATTTCTTTTCAAAATATTGATTCATCTAATTAAATATATTTGACTACTATTATCTTTTTCTTGTCATTGTAAAGGAAATATTACCCTTATTCTTGTACCGTATACATTTATGCAGAAAGGGTATATGCATCAAACTAGACTTCTTACTTAAAGAGTTTATAATGTATCTTGACCTTCATGGATACCTTCTTTTTTCAGCCGGTTCTGCCCATTAGAGTTGAAGTTGAGATAAAACTAGAAGGTAGTTGTTGTAATCTACCCATTTTAATGCTACCGTCATGGATGTCCCTTCGAAAGAGAAATCTGGTGCTTCAAGGGAGAACTCATACTCAAGAGAAATTAAACCTGCTGATAAGAAAGGGTTTTATAAATAGCTTTGATCCGTTTTACTGCATTTGTGGATTTATTTTTATTTATTCCATTGTGTAGCGAATATTAAATGCCGACTGACGTAATAATGTTCACCAATGGTAAATTAACATGTGCTTTTTACTGTAAACACAACATTTTTGTGTCGTATGGAAATGTTTCTTGGATAAGAACATTTGACTTTCCTTGGATAAGAAACCTTATATTTGGACTAACTAAGAAAAGTGTGTGTGTTTATAAGTTTAGACGATTAGTTTATAGAAGAAATAAAATAAATATTTGGACTAGTTAAGAAAAAGTGTGCTTTTAAAGTTTAATAAATTCAATGAAAAAACACATAACATAAATCATAAATATTGAGTGTTATATATGGTCTAAAGGCTAATGATATTTGAATGTAATTTCTTACAAAAGAAAGTGTAAAAACTTATGAGTACTTCCCGATTAATATAGTATAGGATTTGATTAAATATGAATGCTATATAGAATATAGTAGATTCCTATTAAAAATTATGAAAATATCATTTAAATCATCAGTTTACCATTTTTGTTGGTTTAAAAACTTTGGAGCTAGTGATTTTAAATCCTCAGTTGTATGTTGACTTTTAATTTAATTTCTAATTTTCGTTGACAAAGCCAATTGAACCACATCGTTAACTGGTCAAACGGAACAATCAGACGTTGTTATGTGTTCGTTTAATATGTCCGTTAATTATTGAAACGTGGTCGTTTTCAATCAAAGCATATTTAGGACTTTATGTACAATTGTTTATTTATTTTTTGTTTACTGAATTGTTGTTGTTTACTTCAGCTGGGGTTTTCGTTTTCTTCATTTCTAAGAATCGTCTCTTCTCTCTATTTCTCCAATTCCCAAATATCAACAACAAGAAGAAGCAACGATGTGGATGGAAATCATCTGCGGTCTCGTCATCTACAAACTCGTCCGCCGTTTCTTCTACGACGACGAATTCTCCGACGTCGAGACTTCAGATTCCACTGCTCTCTTTTCCGTTGCTCACAGGTTCCCAATTTCCCCATCCTCCATCTTCGATTCTCGATAACCTATAGAGATTCCACTGATTTGATTTTGATTTCCATTGAATCGCAGACTTGAGAAACTTTACGGTGGAAAAGCTTATGTGGGACTTCGAATTCCAGATGCCGACACTGCTTCTAGACAAGACATTGATGTTGTTCTTGTTACTAAAGGAGAAATTGTAGTGATTGCTGTGAAGAATCTATCGGGGATTGTTACGGTAACTAGTGATGGTAGCTGGGTTTGTGAAGGTGGCAAGCATCATACCACTGAGTCTTTCCCTGATCCTGTGAGTTTTGTTTGATTCTTTGTGCAATGATTACACAATGCTTCTAGTGATTAGATTGTCGTTGTTGTGTTTCTGAGTGATTCTCTATGATTTGATGTTTTAGATTGATAAGGATTTATGAAAAATCCGAGTTATATTGGAGTTCGTTTGACCAAAAAAAAAAAGAATAGTAGCAGAGTTCCAATATAACTCGGATTTTGGTCAAACGAACTCCAATATAACTCGGATTTTTCATAAATCCTTATCGTTCCACACACGCACTGATTCCTTCTGGAGGCTTATAGAGCTGTTATGTTTTATATCTTGGATAGTTATTAAAGCTTTGAACTATGAAATGGATACGTTCATTTCATGTAAGGTCTTCTTCGGACAACATAATTGTAAATGTGTATGTGTTTTGGCAAAGTACAGAGTATGGCTGTCACTTGATTAGATTATGAAACGTTTATGACTGCTGGTGAAACAGTTGATTCTTGTCAATTATGCGAATATGCTTGGTTATCCTTTCTTTTCTCATAGATCGACCTTACACATTTTGTTTCAAGTTTCTTGAGTTTTCTTGACTTGGCAAAGTTGACTTGCATCTTGCATCTATGCAATTTTGTTTCTAACTAATAGATGTGTTTTCTCAGCTGGCGGAGGTCAAGAAACAAGCTTCAGTTCTTGAATCATATCTTGAACAGAGGGGAGTTACTTTACTAGAAGGAAATCTGTCTTGCAAAGTTGTCATTCCCAATCCAAGTTTTCGGTATGTATCGTTATCCTTGCTACAGTCAGTTTCTTCATGTGTGCAAGAGCTAGACAAGAAACCTATCAATTTTAAGTACAGGACATCTTATAGTGCGTGTGTGGGCTTGGCTATCTTAGTCTGTAAAGACATTCTTTATCTTCCTAGTGGTGAATAAACGTATGTTTTTTTGTGTCTTTCAGTACAATTCATGCATTCCCGAGTGAGGTAATTACCTATGAAGATTGGCAACAGCTGAAACCAGTATCAAAAAGTAAACTTTCTGGTTGGGTTAAAGGCGCATTCAGCACAGGAAAAGAGATGCAGGAATCATCGCATCAAAAACTTAATTTCATCCTTGGCACAGCACCAACGTGGGATAGGTCATACATTTCATCTTTATTGACATTCAATTTAAATATTGTCTGAGTTGGTAAGAGTTTTGGGTCCTCTTGAACCCTCGATGAAGTAGTTCTGTTCAAAGAGTTTTCATTTGAAGCTGATTATGCTGCAGAGTGGAGCTTAAAAGTAGCAAAATTGTGTTAGGGGAATTCCTTGAGTTTAAAGGAAAGCAGGAAGATACCCTCGCTTTAAGAAATATCAAAAGATCAAAGGTCGATCGTGTCTCTATTCAGAAAACAAGCATGTTTGGATTAGGTAATTTCTCTTTAGACCTTCATTATTTGTTTACGTTCGCGATTGTGTTTACATTGACAAATGAGCTATGTAATTAATTAGAAAATGATTTGGGTTGCAGCTCCTTCGAGGTTGCAGGTTCTGTATTCGTATAGGGACTACAGAAGTGAAGGCAGTTCAGGGGCAGAGTCGAAAGAAGTGACCGTCCGGTCAAGCACTGAGGTTTTGTTTCAGCCACGAGACTCCACAAAGATGAAGAAATTCAAGCTATCGTCGCTCGTCTCCATTTCACTAAGTGCCTAACTGTGAAGTGAGCTTATTAGTATGCAGCAGAGGAAAGTTGTTTATGGTCTACTATGTGAATTACATTGTCTATGACTGAAGTAAGCTTATGATTATTCACAAGAGTAGCAACCTTTTTATGGAAATGTTTTCTTCTTATATTACATGCTACAAAGCCTTACATGGAAACGTTTCATATTTGAAACTTCGTGGTGTTTAGAATAACAAGAAAAGAAAACAAATCTTCTTAATAAGCAACTCTGCTTCTATACAGAATCTTGCAGATAATGAATGAACTGTTCAATCTTTCCAGTACGCTAAAACAACAACAAGAAACAGAGAAGAAAACAATAAGAGAACAAAGATCAAAGGGCAGTGTCTAATGTCATAGACAATCTAAATCTTGATTTGGTAGCCATGTGGAAGCATAGATCAAATATATAGAGCTATGCTCGTAAGAAATTTTAAGACGATGAATATAAACCAAGAAAGCCCCGTTGTAAAGAGATCATCTTCCTCTACTTTTGACTGCTGCTGCTTGTACTCTTCTTTTTAAGCAGGTTTCCGAATTTCCGGAGCAAGGGTTTCTTCTTCTTCATATGTTGTTCCTTTAAGAGCAGATTTCCGGAATCTTCAGTGTGGTCTGTTGAAGAAAAGCCATTGCTGTACTGATCCATGTTCTCACTGCCTTCTGCTTTCGACTCAACTTCCTCTTCCACAGAGTCGAGTTCGGTCTCTCTCTCTGGAGATACTTCGCTTTTTTCTATCTTGTAGCTATCCCACATCTTGAATTCAGACTCCACACGGTCTTTCTCTGCATTCCCTTCTCCTTCAATTCCGTGACCTACCGTATGAGTTGCTGCTCTTTCACCCATCAAATGTTTATCAATTGCTTCCATTGGACTTTCTTGTGTCATATGCTCTCTGCTTCTGTGTTGAAAATGGCCAGTCTTTGCCTTTTCCTCCCCATTACTAGGCCCATTTACTTCCGAAAACTGAACCAAGTCATAATCTTTTCCGATGCTGGTGTGCTCACCGTTTCCAAGCTTTGATGATTCTTCCATTTTCTCAAGGGCGGCAGCTTCCCTGCCTTTTAGCTCAGTTTCTTTTTCAAGTAAACTCTCTTTCAGCTTCGACAACTCCTCTATTTTCTTTGCTGCTAAAGCATCCTGCGATTTAAGCTCTTGGTTTTCTTGAGTAACTCTTTGAAACTCACTTTCCTTTTCAAGCCAACTTTGCTCAAGATGTAACAACTCATCAATCTTTTTCAAAGACGAAGCCTCCTTGGCCTTAAGCTCCTCGTTTTCATGAAAGACACCCTGCAGTTCGTTCTGCTTATCGATCAAACTCTGTTTAAGATTTGTCAACTCTTCAATCCTCTGGAGGGACAAGGCTGCTTCAGCCTTGAGCTTCTCATTTTCAACAATTGCAGCCTGCAGCTCCTTTTCCTTGTGAATCAAACTTTGTTTCAGATCTGACAGCTCGTCTATCGTCTTTAGTGATGAAACCTGCTTGGACTTCAGTTCCTCATTCTCGCAGACGACAGCCTGCAACTCATTCTCTTTAACGAGCAAACTTGCATTAAAATTTGATAACTCTTCTATCTTCTTTTGGGCAACAGAGTTCTTGGATCTAAGGTCCTCAATCTCCACGACCATACCATGCAACTCATTTTCTTTATTAAGAAGATCCTCTTGCACCTTTGACAACTCCTCAATCTTCTTAAGGATAGCAGCCTCCCTTTCTTTGAGCTCCTCTTTTTCATCAATAGAACTCTGGAGTTTGGTTTCTTGATCAGATAAGATTTCGTGCAACTTTGACAACTCCTCAATCTTTTTAAGATAAGCAGTCTCTCTTTCTTTCAATTCTTCATTTTCCTGAACAACTGTTTGCAATTTGCACGCTTTATCAACTAAGCCTTCATTCAATTCTGACAACTCCTCTGTCTTCCTAAGTAATGTAGCCTCTCTTTCTCTGAGCTCCTTACTTTCTTCAGATATTTTCTGCAGATTGGTTACGTTATCAGCCAAGCTCCCATTCGCTGTTGACAACTCCTCAATCTTCTTAAGGTAAGCAGCCTCCCTTTCTTTGAGATCCTTACTTTCTTGAGCAATGTTTTGCATATTGGATACATTATCAACCAAGTTCTCATTTTCCTTTGACAACTCCTCAATCTTCTTCAAATGAGCAGCCTCCCTTCCTCGGAGCTCCTCAGCCTCTTGATCAATGTGCTGCAGTTTGGTCTCTTTATCAATCAAGCTCTCATTTGCAACTGACAACTCCTCAATCTTCTTAAGATAAGCAACCTCCCTTTCTTTGAGATCCTTACTTTCTTGAACAATGCTTTGTAGATCTGTTACGTTATCAACCAGGCTCTCATTTGCTACTGATAACTCCTCAATCTTCTTAAGATAACCAGCTTCCTTTTCTTTGAGATCCTCACTTTCTTGAATAATGCTCTGCAATTTGGTTGCATTATCAACCAAGCTTCCATTCGCCATCGACAACTCCTCAATCTGCTTCATATGAGCAGCCTCCCTTCCTTTCAGCTCCGCAGCTTCTTGAGTAATGCTCTGCAGCTTGCTTTCTTTATCAACCAAGCTTTCCTTTACCTTTGACAACTCCTCAATTTTCTCAAGTACAGAACCTTCCCATTCTCTGAGGCTGCTGTTTTCTGCCATGACATTCTTTAGCTCTTCTTCTTTGTCCAACAAGCTCTCTTTCAGTTTCATGCTTTCGGCTTTTGCTTCTCCAAGTGTTTCCTGCAGATACTTTACCTCCACCTCAGCTTCTTTGAGATTATTTTTAAGACAGGCTTCTTCCTCCTTCCTAGCATGTGCATCTTCTTCGCTCTCTTTGAGCAAATTCATCAGCCTGCTTACTTCTACCTGAGAAGACGAATTTTCTTCTTCTGATTTCTTCACACAACCCATCAGATCAAGTTCTTTCTGTTCCCACCCAGCCTTAGAGTTCTCGAACTCGTTCTGGATGCTATCTACAGTACTTTTCAGACTATCAATTTCATTTCTAGCATCCTCAAGCATTTTCTCATACTTTTCATTTGTCTCCTTTGAAGCCACCTTCAAACTGTCAACCTGGGATTCACAGTTCTTGAGTTCCTCTTGACATGCCAAGAACTTTTCCTTCGCTTCACTTGCTTCAGTATATGCTTCCTGCAAGGCCAACGTCAAGCTCTCTATTTCTTTCTTGCTCTTCTCTTCTTCCATCTTACAACGTTCCAATTCTATTGAAAGCTCTGTCTTTTCCTTCAATAGAGTCTGAATATTTGATGCTGCAGCCTTTTCATTGTCCAAGGCCCTAGTTTTTTCCTCTTGGGAGATCTCAAGCTCAGATTTTATTGATTCAACAAGTTTTTCCATCTTAGAAGCCTCTTCTTTTGCAATGCAAACCTGGCGTCCAGATTCCTCAAGATCTGTTCTCTGCGCTTCAACTGTTTTCTCTAGCAACTCAACCTTTTCTTTTTGTGCAGCATTATCTGACTTCGTCTCATGCAGCACATGATTCAATTCAGCCAACTGCTTCATAACCGACTCCATAGACTCTGAAGCAGATGTCTTTGATCTATTTGATTCTTCAACTTGTTTTTCTAGTTCGTGAACCTTGTTCTTCCATTCTTCTGCTAAGCTATTAGTACAAGATTCAGCCATTTTAGCAGCTTCAAGATCAACGTTAAGCTGTTCGATTAATCCTTCTTGCTCTTTCACACTACTCTCAAGGATACTAACTTTGTCAAGCTCCCCTCTCAACATTTCAATCTCAGACTTCAGTTTAGACACTATCTCATTACCTTCAATAGCTTCTTTTTCTTCCTTTGAACCGAGTAATGCCTTTAACCGGCCTAATTCAGAAGAAAGAATCTCAGCCTTCTCAGCATGGATTTCAGCAATCTTTGTCGCTTCCTCAGCATGGCTTAGCGCCTTGTTTTTAGCATCAGCGGTCATAGACAATTCATGTTTTACCCTCTGGAGTTCTTCTGTGGTAGAGAGGAGAGCTGAGATGTCCAACGCATGCTGGCTTCTAATAGACTCTAGCTCGTTTCTCGAAGTTACGTCCTTTTTCTGAAAAGCTTCAAGTCCAGCCTGTTCCAGTTCAACAGCTCGGAATTTCTCAACCTCGAAACTCTCCTCAGCTCGTTTCTGAGCTGCCAATGCTTCTCTGAGTTTCTCATTGGCTTCTTCTACAAGTTTCTCGGATTCTTTAAGATCATCTATAGCTTTAGCTTTATCTTTCTTGAGCAATTCTATTTGCTCATCAGCTTTCTTTAAATCCTCCTGAATTTGATTCAACTGAGTCTGCAGCTCCGTTCCTTTTACCAACCGTGAATGCACTTTCTGAAAATGCCAACAAGTTTAACAATCAATTAAGTGTTGAAGAATATAGTACTCATCAATATCTTTCATAGCTAATAAAAACCAAAAAAAAAAGATTCATGTATCAGTTAAGAGAGTTGTCAGTAACTTGCCTCGGGTGTAGGAATCCGAGAAGGTCGCCGGTCAGGAGTAGGCTTTGAGTTAACTGTTGGAGGAGAACGGTCAAGGGAAAGACGAGTATTTGGCACCGGGGAAGCCGAATTGCCATCGGATTTAGAAGCAGAGAGTTTACTCAGTCGAGGAGGTGGTGGTGATGGTTTACTACGAGGAGTCTCCATCAAACCAGTTCTACAGTAAACAGAACATATAAGATCAATACAATGTTACATTCACATCAATGAAAAGCTTTTAAATTTATGGATCTTACATTTTTACCTAAACAAGAGTAATAAAGTTCCTAAAAATCACATCTTTTACCTAACTAAATCAACTAAGTAACCAAAAATCACAACATTTACAAGACTAAATCAATTAAGTTCCCAAAATCACAACATTTAATAGACTAAATCAACTACAGTACATTCCAAGCAAAATAGGATTAAAATGATCAACTCAACAATTCATCACAAGAAACAGATCCAATTGTCAAATCAAGAATCATCTCAGATCCAATTGTAATAAAAGTAGAAGAAAGAGTAAAAGTACTCACTTGGTTCTAGATGCCATTGTTGCAAGAAAAGAGCTTCAAAGAAAAGAGAAATTGAATTGACAAAAAAAGAGTAATAAATGCAGCTAAATTCTCAGCATTGCTGCGAGAAGTCAGATCGATTTCAGGGTCTACTTCTTCTTCAGGACTAAAAAAACACAAAGTCTTCAACTTTCGATTCAGGGTCTTCTTACAAGAACACAAAGTCTTGAACTTTAGCAAAAGAATGGTAGGAGAGACTAATAATGAGTAATGGGTTGCGCTGTCTCCATAGTGGTCACCCTCTCTCTCCTTTCTTTTTCTCACCGCTTTTACTTTTCTTTTTTTTCTACACTAATATATTATGATGACAAAAGAAAAAAAAGAAGAATAATAAAAGCTGTGAGTGAAGTGGACCAAAACAAGTTGGCTTTATTTAATAATGGAGGTGAGAATCAATCTCTCTAACGATCTGATTTAAGACAAGAGAGTTTGAGATCTTGGAGTTGTGTCATGTGGACTTCATGTGCTCTAATCAATCATGTTGATTTTTGTTTCTCTCTTAATGAGATCTGATAAAACTTAGTTTAAACTTTAAACTCAGTTAATTAATTAACATAATTATAACTAATCCACATAATTATAACATAATTTCAAAAGTTTTATCTATTTCTGTTTGGGTATCTAATTTTAGAAAATAAGAAAATATAGGAGAAAATAATTGGTTTAATCAACAATGGGTTTAGAGATTTATACATAAGCAAACGCAGCCAATAGCACCAATCAAGTCCACACATGCACAGTGTGAGTTTCTCAACACGAGATAAGTCTACCAACGAGGCAACGACAATTTCGTAAAAATGAAATATTTTGAGGCAAATTCACATATAAAGTCACACTGAATCGCCTCAAAAAAAAATTTGGTCTTTCTGATTATAAGTTGATGTAATGCTTCTGTGATAAACGACACCACCCCATTGTTTACAAGTAGACATCAGTGATTTTCGATAACCAGGTTTCTAGTTGCGAAAATATCAAAAGAAATTGAAAGAATTTCCTAGTAATTATTAAACCTTTTTTGGTATGTTAAATTAAATTTCTACTTGTCTGTTACAAAACATTAAAAATTGTAAATAAAAGCTGACCATATTTCTTTTATATCGGTTTTGGACTCCAAAATAGTAGGAACGATTTTGATTTATATGCATGCCCAATTTTCAAAATAACTAGAAAAAAAGCCACTTAAAACTTCATGATAAGTAGAAAAAAAATTAAACCACATCAAAATTATTATTTTTTATTTTTATTGGTAGTGTAAAAAGAATTTAAGATCTAAATAATTCGTTATATAGTTTTGATATCAAACTGTAATTTTCTAAAGTTAAGTTCTAAATATTTTTTAAACTTGAAAATATCAAAATACCAAAACGAATGATTTGTACGTCTACCGAGTTTTCTTTTATTCATCTGCACCACATTTAATGTAATTGTCAACCCCATGTCAATCTGTTAAACTACAATAACAATGTAGAGAATTTTAACAATAAATAAATATAGATTGATATTCAGTTACTCCATTTTATTCACTTGTAAATTATTTTTATAAAATAAATCATAAAATTTCATATTTTTATGTAGGGTTAAGTGGTACACACAATATAGATAAATAGTTTATTTATAAACATTTTGGCACCATGCATTTTACTATCTCCAGAATCATAGTAAGAGATACAAATTCCGCGAATCAAAGCTACGATAGTACGAATCAAAGAGATACAAATTCCACGAATCAAATCAAATAAAACAGATCCAAAGCAAGCAAAATACTACACAAAACGGTAACCGCGAGCAATGAAGCAAATCTATGAAGAAACAGACCAAAACAATGACGTAAAGAAAGGAGAAAAAGAGTCTCACGCATAAGAAATTTGAATTGTGTGGTCTTTCTGATTGTAAGTGATGTGATGCTTTTGTGATTAACCACATCACTCCACTGTCTACAAGGAGACGTTATACAAGTATTTAGTTGCGAAAAATATCAAAAGAAATTGGTAATCATTAAACCTTTTTGATATGTTATATAAAATTTCTACAAGTCGGTCACTAGAAACTGTAAAAAAAACTTACCATATTTCTTCTAATCGGTTTTGGACTGCGAAATAGTAAAAACCTTTGATTATATACATGTCCAATTTTCAAAATAAATAGAAAAAGCCACCTAAAACCTCATGATAAGTAGGAAAAAAATAAACCACATCAAAATTATTATATTTATTTTTATTGGTAGTGTAAAAATATGTAAGATCTATGATTTTTTTGTTAACTTTGGAGTTAGAGATATGTTTTCATTACATTTGGCTATGTAAAAAAAATTTCTTAACATTATAATCCTATAAATTCACCCCGGAATTCCATGTATAACTCACCATGTCTTTTTGTTCAACACTTGATTGACCAACATATTTGTACACTTTTTCTAATAATAATTAGTTATTCCGGCATATTCAACAAAAATGCAAAATAAAAATGTATTCCCTATATAACTCCGTTGGAGACAGTGCATGAATTATAGAATATCTATAGCAAATTTGTGTGTGAGCAATGTTATCTAAAGAGTAAAAATTGTGGTATTAAAATAGAAGAAATTATAATGACATCATATATATAAGAAATACATGCGTTCGTTTTGTCGTCATATTTAGCACATATATCTAAAACCATTTCTCTATAACAAGACAATCTTTTCTTCTTTTTCTTTGGCATCGGACAATCAATCTAAAAAACATTATAACTCAAAATTATGACAATTAACAAAATCCTACAAGTGCATAACACAAACAAATTGTTCAAATCATAAAGTTAAGAACTTAAATTTAATAAAATCAACATTTTTTAAATAATAACATTATGAAAAAAGACTTTACGATTTATATTTATTTCTAATAACTTTCAAATTTCATGATGAATATATATGCCTTAATATATAGTCTTGAATGTGTTTCACCAAAAGTCGACACATGAAAATTTGTAAGTAATAGGATTTCGGCATGTATCAGTTAATCAATTAGATTTTAACATACGTATAATAGTTAAATTGTACTATTTTTATTTAATAAAATAAAATACTTTCATTATTCATACTCTTAATTGTATATATTTTTGAGATTTGTGTAAGGATGTCTTAGGGTTTGTAGTTATTTATACACACAATTATTAAAATAAACACAAGAGAAAATATAGTATTCGGCTCAATATTTTTATACGCTTGAAGGGTTCATTAGATTTCATCCAAACCAACACAATTCATCATCAAATTAATACTTTTAGTTCTTACATTTACTTCAGTGATTTGATAACTTAATTTTTAATGACGAAACTAACATACCTATGGTAAGAGCTACTATGCAAAAAGTTATTATTTTATTTTTGGCAGAAAAACTTAATTGTTAAAAATTTTATTTAGAGAAAACCTAGCGGCAAAATCCTTATAAATTTGTAGTTATCCAACATGTAAAAAAGGGTTATGAGTGAATAAGGTAGTGGGGTATTCATCAAAGTGGTGAGTGAATTATTACATGCCAAAAATAAATCTGGCAACGTTTTTTTATTGAGTTCAAATGAAAATAAATTTCGTCTGAATTCAGTTACACAATACAAATATTTGTCAAGGTTTCAATGGTTACATCCGGGATGGAGGTGAGTAGGTTCACAAAATTTTGATGTTTTATAGACGGTTCATAGAGAAAACAACATCTTTTTCAGGAATTTGTTTTTGGGCAAAATCTTATTTCAAAACTAGGATAGTGTTATTACAAAATGAATGTCGAAGTGCCGAATGTCAAAACTAGGAATTTGTATTTGGGCATGTAATCAAATTCAAATTTAAATTCATCAATTTCATCAAGAGACTCTTACACATATCCAGTGGATGCACCAAACCAGACATGATCAAGCAAATTCATTAAAGATCCGAATTACCATATTTGGAACCAAATGCCATAAATCTCCCTTGGCTTTTCCCCAAACTTGTTGGGTATGAAATGGAGACTCTCTACACCTTCGAGAAGGTTTCAAGAGTGCACAATAAAAAAATAAATGCAATATCAATCAAAACTTTGATTGATATATTCTTTTTGTTAATTCCTTTTGTAAAAATCTGTATAGGCTCTATATAAGCTCACTACTACTATTGTAAACCTCACCAATCCTTTTTTTTATAATAAATTTTGAGTTTTTCTACAAAAATGTGTCTTTTTGTTTTGTTCTGCTTGTGCGAGAATTTTCCTAGAAAGTCAACAAGCTCACTCCTCACACAGGTGAATCACCATCTAACAGAGTCCAATTCTACATTCATCCCCTACGTTCAAGCCGTACGCCTTGATCGTCATTTGATCATAAGTTTGGTGGATTCCAATCTTATATCAGTATTACACCACTACATTTCGACTGAAAGCAGTGATGTGGGCGATGAGATGCCCTGATCGACGTTACTTTCATCACAGACTGCTTTAGATTGGTGATGATGGTGTCTACACCAACATAATGACAAACTTTTGCAACCTATCTAATCTAAGTATAGAAGAGTAAGGAAACATTTTTATTTTTTTCTTTAACTTTAGTTTTTCGTAGTGCCACTGTCAAATCAGATAAGTTATCACAAAACGTCTATGTTTTTCCGCATCTTATTTCATAATGTAAACAATGTTACTCCGGTTTGACTTTTTTGAGTCTTTCTAATAATATATAAGTTGTCAAAAATACAAATATTTGTCATCCTATACTAATATTTGGGAAGTACATCCTAAGAGTCATAACTTAGATTTTGTAAGAAATTACAATATATGCCATTAGAGATCTTTAATTGTAATTATTTTATTTTATTTCACTAATATATATTAACGGGTCAAACGGGTTTAAAGATATCAAAAAATTTTGTTTATATAATTCATATAATTCAAAAAATATTTCGAAAAAACAACACAATTCATATAATTCAAAATGATATTGAAAATGTTATATAGTAATCCATTATTCAACATGTTTTCGAAAATGTTATTAAAAATGTATTTATATATTGGCGAAAATTATTTTCACACATATTAAGTTACCAAAATTGAAATTTATATTAATAATAAATCTAAGTAGTTTCTATAACGGCTTTGGATAATCTACATATACATTTTTAGAGGGGATTTTGGTTTTTAATTCAAATGGGTCGGATTTTGACCCGGATTAATTCTGATCGGATCCTGGATAAGACAATTAAGGAATTTTTTTTTAAAACAAAACGAAATTCATTTTTAATTACCCATTTAATTCTGTTCCTTTAATTTATTCCCACATTTAGTTATTTTTTCATATTTAAAGATTAAGATTTGCCGTATAACAATATTGCGAAAATATCTCCATATTAACTCAACCGTTAGTTTCTAAAATCTTACCTACGAGATTTTTGAGAGCATTTAATTATACCAAATTATCATTTTCATATTCCTAATCTACATATCTCTAACAACTCGATAAGCATAAATTAAAATAGTCCTTCCAAAACATCAAATTCAGTTTCTTTATCTTACCTCTGAGATTTTAGATTGCATTTAATTAAAATAGTCTTCTTCAAAAAAATCAATTCTGTTTCTTTATCTTGTAAGCCACAATTTAATTAGTCTTCTCTAGAAAAATCAATATGGTTTCTTTACAAATATATATCCCGAGATTTTTTCTTCTACTATTAACTCACCACATTAAATTTGAAAGATTATCCTTCCAATATCTATATAAAAACGAATTATAAAAACATATTAATCAAATTTATGTTCAATTATTTGCCATAAAATCTGGACAAAATATTTAATTCATTATCTCGACAATATAATAGAAACTATTAGATTGTATTAAAAACGGATTAGTTGCATATTCCTTAAAAAAATTCGATTAAAAAGATTTGATTCTAATTTAGTTGAGGTTGCAAATAAATTTTTATTGGCAACCAAAAGATTATTGACCTAATCGGAACTCGCCTATATATACACTCTAGCTTTACATCTCCTCACATTAACAAACACACAAAGCAACTACATTTTCAAAACACTCGAAACATTCTGCTTCGAGTGTTTAGGAAGATACCAATCAAATCGAGCAAGATAAATCCCTACCGGATGTTAATTGTATGACTACTACATTTACATATGTTTGCATAAAAGCGCATATTTTCCTTTTGGTATTTGATGGATGAAATTATATATTGCTTTCTATTCATGAGTTTTGAGTTTTAATACATATTTCTAATTCTCTTTTCGTGTTTATTTCTTGATCTACATAAGCACATCGGAGAATAAGACGACAGAAAAAGTTTAAGATTTGTATTGGAATATATAGGATAAGAAGGAACGTCTCTTGATGATGTTATTGCTGGAGAAAATACGGACTGAGGACTTAGGATGTTGGCATTGATTGGTCATTAATTGATCATGAGATCATTTACTTCGATATATTAATCTTAGACGATGAGGTATAATTCTTTCATGGTGGTGATACATAATTAGCATCACACGTTGCAATTGTAAATGTGTCTCATTGCTATTTTTGTATATGGAGATGCGATCAAGTATGAGTACACAATACGTAACATTTTGTGCCGACTCGCTAATGTTAATCTTTTGTCTTCTCATGTTACTACTACAATGTTACATTGTTCATCTATATTGATACTTTGTTGCAGGAAAATGTACAGAAGGAACAAGCAGAAGCTGGAACTAAAGTTTTTCTTACATATAGGTTGGCATATATACGGTACTATTTTTATTACACAAATAATAAATATATACTAAAGTGTTTTAATATTTATTTATGAAATAAAAAAAATTACAAAGCCAAATAATCTTTTATTGACATTTATAAAATTAAAAATATAATTTAAATATTATTATGTTTAAATGCAAAAAAAAAATTAAAACATATTTTCTTTTTCCACCATACATTGAACAAATTACAATTTGATTTTTTTTTATACATTACGAGTTAAAAAGTTAACAATATAATCAAAATACTATCATGTTTATTTAAAATTTTTATAATATTAATAATATTTGAACTCTATAAAAATTAAAAATATATATCTGGAAACCATTTAAAGCAAACTTTTAAATTGATTTGAATTATAGGTTTTTTAAATAAAATATTATAAAAAATGACAAAATGATGTTTCTTTCACGGGACAGGGTTATATGGTGGGACGGGTTTTGTTAGATATTAATATGGGACGGTATACTACAGATGAAATTTTAGAATTAACAATCAAAATATAATAATACAATCTTAAATAATAAAGAAAACAAATAATATTAACAAAACTAATACAACTTATAATTTAAATTTTTAATTATAAAAATCGATCTGCTGTGTACCACGGGTCAATCCTAAAATGCACCATATTATAATAAAATGCAAACAACAAAATGTATATTTATTCAAATCCGCTATATAGCGTTGGTTAATGAACTGTATGTTTTCGTTTCTATATTTAAAAATTGAAACCTACAACATACTAAGCATACACTATATATATAATACATTTAAATCAAACAAAACAATAGGTTATATCTGTAGATTATTTTTAAAATTAAATTTTTAATTTTTATTTAACAAAAATATAGGCCCGCGTTGTACCGCGGGTTAATATCTAGTACTTATATATTATATATCTAACATTAATATGTTGGAATTCAAAGGTTACTTGAAATTAAAAACGTGAAGACTTATAATTGTGATCAATTTTTAATATGTTATAATTTGTGTGTATTTTACATTTAGTTTTATATTATAAATTAAGGAACATTGTTTCTATATTATGCAAAAAAACCTTTCAACTTATCCATTTTTGCAACTTTACCTTTCACTTCAACAAAATGCAAATTAGTCATACAAAGTTAAAAATAATACACAATAAAACCTTTTTTCGCTACCGTCAAAGTTTGTATACTCGAAGCCCTCGCGATGAAGAGTAGAACTCTACCTTTAAAATTTTAAAAATCTAATGTATGTGACCGTAAAAATGTTTATAATATAAGTATAAAGGCTATATTGTGTATTATTTTTTATTTCATAAGATTAATATGAATTTTTGGAGGTGAAGGGTACAATTACAACAATTAGCGAGATGGACCCTAAATAATTCGTTCTATAGTTTGATATCAAACTGTAATTTTTTAAAGTTAAGTTCTAAATCTTTTTAAAACTTTAAAATATCAAAATCCCAAAACGAATGATTTGTACGTCTACCGAATTTTCTTTTATTCCTCTGCACCACATTTAATGCAATTGTCAACCTCATGTCAATATGTTAAACTACAATAACAATGTAGAGAATTTTAACAATAAATCTAAAATATAGATTGATTTTCAGTTACTCCATCTTATTCACTTGTAAATTATTTTTATAAAATAAATCATAAAATTTCATATTTACAAGTAGTGTTAAGTGGTGCATACAATATAAATAAACATTTTGGCACCATGCATTTTTTATGAACCTGAAATAATAAATTGTTTAAATTATCAACCTGAACCATATAATCGTTAGCCGATTTTTATATTGACTTTCACGGTATTAGTAAACCGTTAAACGGTACTAAGTCATACGATACCGTGGCTATACCGTAATGTTTTATTCTTAAATATGCACAATGAATTTAAGTATTTGAGGCATTATATTTAGATTCCATCATCGCAGAAATATTCATCAATTGGTTATATTTATATTTATTTTACGTAATGAACGGGTTAAGATTCAATAGCATAAAGTCTAAAAATGGAAAATCCATAGTATGTATATACAATTTTTGAAACTATGTAATGATTCAACAAAGTTGTTTGTATGTTATCTGCTATGAGAAGTCTTGGTGTTAAAAAAAAAAAGTCTTGGTGTTAGAAAAAAAGAGTGATAGTGCAAGATTATTTCTCATGATTAATGTCTCATCGCTTTAGCCAAGACTTCTAGATTAAGTTCTGATTTTTTTTTCGTAAACTTCTCCACATTTACTTAAACTAAATACCCAAAATGTCTGATTTAGATTTTTATTGTTGGTGTTCATAAAAAAGAAAGTAGTGTTTGACTCTTGCGGTTCACCATCTTTGATTGTAACCATAAGATTGTGAGTAGCATTGTGGCAATAACAAGATATATTTATTTACCAAAGAAACCTAACTTTAGAAAAATGTGGAACCAATGAGGAACAATCAAACTGACGACAAGTTCTTACCCAGATTTGTACTTGTTGCCTGAATTTTCATGACGAAACTAAAAATTTCCTAAACACTTAAATGTAAATCACAAGTCAACCGCTGGTTACTTATAATTCTCTCATTTCACTTATATACCTATTGAGGCAATTGCATCTATTCTCACTTAACATCAGACCAATTCATTTTTTCACTCCTTTTAAAGCAACCATTGAAACAAGATCATTCCTAACAAATAGACATATAATCGTCTGTGAAGATCAGTCGTTTGCGGAATTTTGTCACGTCAAATGATTCTGGCACTCCTATTCACAAAACCCACAGAAGCTGTAACACAACAGTTCACTCTGTAGCTGTGTTCAATGCAAGAAGTGGTTCAAGACAGTACCCAGCAGAAAGATCACAAGCTAAGTCTTTTATTTCATAAGAAGGCTACGATAATGTAAGATTATTTACATGATGTTTGTACGGAAAAAGGCTTACGAGAGCTCACTCATACATCAGTCATCATATGAAATGTGAGGGCTGGTGACACAACCTGGTGCATTAGGATCCTCTGCGCCGCAACAATCGTAGAACTTGGCTGCATACGGTGGATCCTCTGGTTTCAATTCATAGTACCTTCATTTATTGATGAAAATCAAGTTTTAGTTGATAGTACAAGTAGGAGCCATGATTTGGAATGAATATATATTCAGAAAACAGACATAAAATAACAAATCTCAAGAACCAAGAACCGTGAACACCAGAAATAAACTCAGTTGTTGCACGTAACAATAAGAGCTCAACAAAGGATACTTAGTGCTTGCTATGTTGGCACTACAATGTGTGGAACAGAGAGAACCACAAGCAGAGGAAGTAAGTAAATAAAGAAAGGAGCCAGAACGGAACAGACTCATACAATCCTTCCTAGTCCAAAGTTTCTTAATATAATAAAACAAGGAACATAGAATCAGATGATAAATCTCTAAGCTGTATTCTTCACCACTCTTTATTTACGCCATTAACCGTCGGCTAAAGTGTAGGCCAATAGACAGCTTGAAAACTTGTCGAGATCATTTCTTATCCTTAGTCTCGAAGTTTAAGAGTGATCACAATCATTATACAGCTTCATGATTATGCCTAAAGCTCAACTATCTCATTTTAACTTCGAATTAATATTACAACAAACCAGAATTTGGTAAACAAACTTGATGTAAAGAGTTTGAAATGGACAAGGCAAATATAAACAGTAGCTTGTTAAATCTGCAAAGAAGGCTAAGAGGTAGTTTCAAATCAACAAAACATGACCTTTGACCCTGATGATGGAACAAATAGCCATTGAAGTTTGATGATCAGCTATCATTTGACCACTATCGGGTACAGATAATTACCAGAATCTACTGTATCTAACTAAATTGGCTATAGATCCAGAACCTTGATACAATAAAGTGGATTGCTTTCAAAACCCTTTTCAAAAATTTGTGCTTTGCCATCAGAAATTAAAGAATCAAGCTGCTTGGGATGTGAATTTCTTCATTAGTGAACATAATTAGGGTTTTTAGGAGACATAACCTTTTCTGGTCATCGTGACGACGACAAACAAAGAAGGAAGGATGAAAACGGCAAGAGGAAGTGTCGTTTAAAGAATCTGTGTAGCTTTTTTTGCACCTTTGGCACAACTTCTCCATCTCATTCGTCTCCATTGTTGATGAACACTGAAATCAAATGGATCCGATCCCGGTTAACCGGAAAGTTATGGCTTTTTTGTCACCGGTAAAGCAGTAATCTACGTTTTAGCAATGATGAGCTGTTTTTGTTGTATTGACTTATGGGCCTTAATGGGCTTATTGGGTTTTGTTTGTTTTTAATATTTGGCCTCATTTTTCAGATGAGAATATAACGAAACTAATGCACGGACTTAGTAATTGCTATTTTAATTTTTTTCCAAAAACTTATTAACTATCATTTTATAAGAGGTGGATGAGATGGAGATCGTGGCAAAGATAAAGTGGAAAAGATAAAGATTTTTTTTTTATTATGTATTGGCAACAGTTTTTCTGTGAAAGTAAAACAGCAAAAAATGAGACTTATGCCACATGTCAAAAGGAGAATGTTGTAGTTTTTATTAAAGTGACTGTTGATTTAGTAGAAATATATGATTTGAAAAGCATAAAAACATTAGAAACAAAAGAGCTCAAACTTTTTGTTAAATAAATTGTGTTATTATAAGAAAAACGTTCCGTAGCTTAATGATTTTTGAAACTTTTTAACACATGCATCAAATATAACATACACATGAAAATATAAATGTTTGATAAATATTGTGAATGGTAAAAATAATAGAATCACATAATGAAAAATAGTATACTATACATCATCTAGTTTAATGAAATTAGTAGTTTGAACCAAAAAAAAATTCGTGCATCCTTCCATACAGTATTTATTATCCAAAACCTCGAACTATCAGTTAATTGTTTTTATAAAAGTATATTTAATATTTTTTAAATAAGTATTTCCTAGTAAAAAAGATATACCTAGTATAAAAATAATAATTTACTCTAAGCAAAAAAGAAAGATAGTCCAAATAAAATTATTGTTCCGTTATATTAAACTCTTGAAAATATATCCAACAAAATGGATAGAGACTCATGCATTCTTTCCATTTCAGTCTAAATTGTCAATTCATATGATACCTCAAATTCCACAACTATGATGAATATGTATTTATAAGTTCGTTCAATGAGGTGGTTGTAGAGTAAGATGGGTATCTCCGCAACTAGAGTGCGTTGGCGATCGTCATGAGTTCGTCCCAATTTATTCAAATGATTTTAGCCATCATGTTTGAAACATATAATATCTTGCAAATTGTAGATTTGTGAGCCTCTGATTTGACAGAAGTAACTAATGACAACTCTTGTTATCTGGTAGATTAAATAAAATAACAGCACCGCCTATTTACTTTTTATATCACCTTTTTTCTCCTACTTTATCGTATATATTTTTGAATCATTTAGCTGTATGCTAAATTTTTAGAAAAGAATTAATAATTTATCAATGATTTTTGGAAATTTGCATAGTAAGAAAGAGATTACTGAAAACATTAAATTTAGACGAAAATACCCCTAACAACATGTCTTCATCATCTTCCACATCCTCCTTTCAAACAACACAACCTTCGCTTTAAACAATATGCTCGATAACACACATAAAAACTATAAAACTACCAAGTCAAGAAAATTTAAGATTCACCCAAGGGAAACATGTAATTAGCTTAAAGAAATTTAAGTCCAACCACAAAATTTTTGTTCTTAGATATTCGATTATAGTGAAAACTCACATTTCTAGTGTTGTATAGTTAGAAAACGCATCTAATTCATCTATGCAACTCCACTATGAGTTTTCGAATTTCCTGAATCGAACCATTCATTTTACACAAATACGATTCAACTACATGAATTAGTTAGAGAATCCGATCATGCCCAAGATCAAATGCAAAGTTATAGGCTTTAATAATCCCAATTTCATAAAAAAAAAGTAGCCTATTTGATATAATTATCTAATTCATTAAATGGTTCCACTAAATTTTGAAAATTCGAATTATAATCAAGGAAGTTTTGTTTTAAAGTCGATACAGAGAGATGAACAAAGTGAGGAACAAAAAGTAAGAGAAACACGTGGATAGAAGATAGATATGAGGGCAAGGGTAATTTCCTCTTTTTGGTAATATTTTCAGCAGTGGCGGAGCTAGGAATTTTTTTTATAGGGGTCAAAAATTTTTTTAATACAAAATAATATATATTATATAAAAAAAGATATTTTAGATTTATCTAAAAATAATTGACATATAAAAAAACAATGAATAATTTATCAAAAAATCAACCAAAATTGATATTTAAGATTTGTTTAGTTGCGCTCCTCAACGATTAACAAATAGAGAAGAAAAATTAGATTTTGCGGATGTATTTATAATTAAATATAATATTAGATCATTAGCTGGATTTGTTTTTAATTAAGTCAAGGATTTTCTAATATATCACGATCTAAGATTGAAAAAAAATAAGGAAGAAGAAGCTAAAACACTACAAACAAATGTTAAAATATAAGATTAGTTTATATTAATGGGCTTAATTATAGTATATTTACTTAAATAAATTTTATTGGGCTTAATATTATTTATAAGTACAATATAATTATTGGGCTTAGATATTTTAATCTTGTAACATAAAATTTTACAGGGGTCAAAACTCTTATGAGATTGGGGTCAATTTAATATATGTAGTAAAGTTTCAGCTAATTTTTATAATTCCACCAGGGTCAATTGACCCTTATGACTGTGCACTGCCTCCACCTCTGATTTTCAGTTTGATTTATATTAGGTTACTTCTCCTTTGACTTAAATATTTATATTTTTAGTTAAAATTTTATTCGTTTTAGTTGATCATTTTTCGCATATATAAAAGTGAAAAAGAAAATAAAAACAAATCAAAAAACATTTTGTAAAATGGAGTTAATTTACCATCATCCCTACTTAGCTAGAGTCAAATCCTAAAAACAAAGACTAAAGAAAGGAAAGTAAAAGAAATAAAAGAAAGAAATTACGTATAAGTAAATTACTGTTGAGCGGTCTGCGTGACACCACTCTATAGCTCAACGGTTGGTTGGCGTTTAACTACGCCTGCCTCTCTGCGAGTTCGAGTAGAGTCATATTATGGTGGTGGTGATGATGATGATTGATGATAATGTCTCTGATTAGAGCTTAAACTAATTAAACCCTAATCATAACATTTAAGGTATTACTAAATACCTATTTTTTTCTTAAATTGTTTCATAAATGATCAAATTCAAATTGAATCGAACAACAGAAGCTCTGGTGTTGAATCGCCATGGCGATTTTGCAGATTTAGAGAGACATTGAGAGCAATAGAGAGAGAGATCTGAATTTTTCTGCTCGAGAAGGAAGACGAGATCTGGATTTGGCGACGATGAGTTACGGATGGGCGATATACGAAGGCACGGTGGTTATGGCTTCACTGTGTCTTTTAGGATGGGCTGGTTTATGGTTTCTTAATCGGAGACTATACAAAGAGTATGAAGAGAAACGAGCTTTGGTTCAAATCATTTTCAGTGTCGTCTTCGCTTTCTCTTGTAATCTATTGCAGCTTGTTTTGTTCGAGATCATACCTGTTCTGTCTAGAGAGTAAGTCTCTTCTTGAGGAATCCACTGTGTAGTTTTTGAAATTTAGCTAGTTTGGAGTCTTCTGGTTTTGGAGGTTGTCGAAAACTTTGCTTATTTGTTGTCTTCTGGATTGTGTTACTTAGTTGGTCCTCTTTTGTTTGCAATTGCTTGATTCTGTGGACTTCTTTGTGCTTTTTACCTAATTTGCAATGATTAGGAGATTGAGCAAAAGATAGAGTGTAAATTGATTGTCTTAAGAAATTGTTTTACTTCAGAGTTTTCTGGTGTATGTGTAGGGTAATCTACTATATAAACTGTATGGTAGCTCATCTTGTTCGTTACTCTATATATCATGTGGAAACTTGATACTAGATGTGACACATAAGTTGCACGATATGTGTATTTCTAAAGCAGCATAAATAGATCAATTGTGCTTTTGAAGTCTTTGTCATTGAACTTAGTTTATATTGGAGGGACACGTCATGGCACTTGTAGCTATCGTTTAGTTAAGCCTTGGATCAATCTTTCCTTTATTTTGCAGGGCAAGGATGATAAACTGGAAGGTGGATCTTTTTTGTTTAATACTACTTCTCGTTTTCATGTTGCCATATTACCACTGCTATTTGATGCTTCGTAATAGTGGTAAGCCTCATCTCATCTGTAGATGCGATTTGTTTATTCTATTATCTCATATATATTGTTTAGAAGTTAATGGGTTTTATTTGTTTGTTCGCTGATCTCATATTTCGTATTTAGAAGGTAATCGTTGATAATTGGTTATCATTGTAAGTTTCTTAGGAGTTCCTGAAAGCGTTTTTGTTGTATAAATGCTAGTTAACTGGGATTTCTTTAGAGAACACTTGTGTGCAGCTGTATAAACAGTCTTAGGCTGCATCAGTTTTATCTTATTGCTAGAATAATCGTGATCCTCATCTTTGGCTTTGTTTCTTCTCTTACATACACTTGTGAGTTCAACTAGATGGAGATAATTGAATATGAGAAAACACAAACACTCGTGAGTTCAACTAGATGGAAATAAATGAATTTGAGAAAGCATCACTTTATTGCCTTAACAACTGTTGTATTCTTTGTTCTTTTCCTGATTAAATCTTAGACTACCAGTTCGCTGCCGCATGTTACAGCATTTTGTTTGGACTGTCTGTAATTTTTTCAAGTTAAAATAACATTTCAGGTGTAAGAAGGGACCGTGCCTCTGTTGGGGCTTTCTTATTCTTGTCAGCATTCCTTTACGCATTCTGGCGTATGGGAGTTCATTTCCCTATGCCTTCAGCAGATAAAGGTATTTATTTGAAACTAATGTAACCATTCCTCTCATTCCAGCATCGCATCGTTATGTTGGTACTCATTTTTCTCTACTAATGTAACCTTACCTAGTGATTATTATAAACTTTAAGAACTAAGCTTGGTACCAGTGTTACACCTAATTTAATTTGTGTATTGATGAATATGGCATATTTATCCATTGTTATATGCACCAATATATAGATAATACTGACTACTGAATATCTAGATTAGAGGGTATGCTGTTTGCAACGAAACGATAGTGGGAGCTAGATAAGAGTGTATAGCATTACCTTACTGAAAAATATCTTCTAAGAAAAACGCTCAAAATGAATAACTCTTTATACTTTTCTTGTCTACTTCTGATCGGCACAAGCGTCTGCATCCAAACATTCTCATTTCTGTTTTGGATACTTAAGTTGTTTTGTTGTCTGTTGAAGTTGTTGACTTAAAGATCCTATTTCTTTGAAGGTTTTTTTACCATGCCTCAGCTGGTCAGTAGAATTGGGGTCATTGGTGTGACCTTAATGGCTGTCTTATCAGGATTTGGAGCTGTAAATTTACCCTACAGCTATATATCCCTCTTCATAAGGTACTAATATTAACCTCTATTTCCGAAAGCTACTATATATACTGTTCTATTCATGATTTCGTTTTTCTAGTTTATATTTAACCAACAAGAAGAGTGTTTCCCTATAGGGGCACCATTCAATGGGGCTACATGATAATCATACATAATTAGCACTGCATATTTATAGTGCCACCTGCATGTACTTCGAGGAGAAAACATAAAAATGTAGAATGATAGAAGAAAAGCTTAGGAGAAAAAAAATGCAGAATTGATGCGACAAATATGCTAAGAAACTGCACAAAATTGGAACTTATATTCCACAATTTGATCTTGAATGAAACAAATGGTGCTGAATGTTCAGTTGGGATATTTTTATAAGCTATTTCCAGAAGCTTGTCTAAACTTATAGGCTTTTGACTGGATTGGCAGGATTGTATAAAAGACATTTCTTTCTAACAGCACTTTTGTTCCTCTCTCATATAGGGAGATTGAAGAAGCAGATATAATATCTTTGGAAAGGCAACTGATGCAGTCAACTGAGACGTGCATAGCAAAGAAGAAGAAAATTATTTTGTGTCAGTTGGAGGTGGAACGAAATCAAGGATCAGAAGAGGTTTGTTTTTGTTTTATCCGCGTATGATTGTATTGTCTAATCTCATATTCTTTACGTTTCTGTTCTTGTGTCATAGTTCTTATAAAAGCTTATGAACAAAGACTATTTCATACTTATGTGTCAAACTGCTCATTGTACTCTGAAGTCTCTGAACTGATTGTATCCTGACATTTTTCTTGGCATTAGGCCCTAAGCGACCAGAAAAAGGATTTTTTTTTATTTGCATTAGATTGATAAGGTAGTGCTGCTTAAATGGAACCAAAACTATGGATAATTTATTTAAGACGGGAGAGATTATTTTCGGTCTCGAGTAAACAATCCATGGTCTTGGTTTCTTGCTCAGCTGCACGTCCTTTTGTGGGTGTGTACCTGAGTTCTTATTAACTAGTTTCATTGCTATTATCTCAAACTTCTGTCTAATATTTTTTAATTAAACAATATGCCTTTATTTTCAGTGATGGTTTTGGGAGCTAATCATCTGATGCTTTTTTCTCCCAGAATCAGAAACGTAGCTCTTTCTTCAGAAGAATTGTTGGGACTGTTGTGCGGTCGGTTCAAGATGACCAAAAGGAACAAGGTCAGTTTATGTGCTCTTGTTTTTATTTGTAGTTGTGCTCCACAAATTTTTTTTTGTGTAAAACTGAAATGAGTATACTCTGAATGCTTTACTTTAAGACAATTTTTCAGCTTGAAAAACGTTTATCATTAATCATAATTCATAAGTGGCTTTAGCTCGACGAGAATGAGCCTGGTCAGAGGGATTATCTTAGTTGAACAAGAACTTTTGTTAATATGCTTTATTTGTGCATGTTTTCTGTGTCTTAATGGTGCTGTTAGTAACTAGATCAACTACAACAACAGAAGGGACAATTACTGTCCTTTTTTTCTCCAAAACAGTCTAAAGGAAAAAGTAATGTTGATGCTTACTACAGGGGAAGACTTACGTCTATTTTTGTCCATAAATATGTTTTGACAATGAATCTTGTACAGAAGATATTTCTTCACGTAGACCAACTTGAAATCAATTTTTTCCTTGTTTGTTAGAATTAGTATTTTTTTGTTGAGTAGTAAACGCCTGAGCACTTCTTGCGAAATTGAACTTTAGCATTAGATGATTCAATTTGTTAAATGTTTTCAAGTGTACATGGTGAGAGATTAGTCTATTTAATGAATAGATCCTCTGGTGATGTCCCTCCAATTAATTGATAATTTTTCCTTGGGAAGACATAAAAATATTGGAAGCGGAGGTGGAAGCCTTAGAGGAGCTGTCAAAACAGTTATTTTTGGAAGTATATGAGCTGCGTCAAGCAAAGGTTAGCTTTTAGCTGCTTTGGTTTTTGATTCCCTAGAGAATTCTTACTTTGGCTGAATTTTCTATTGTTGAGATTAGTGCTTCTTTGGTTGGTTTTTGATTCCCTAAAAAATTCTTACTTTGACTGTCTTCTTTGGTTGTAATATTTTAAAAGCATTTGCTCTGACTTCATCGCATTTGCAGGATGCTGCTGCTTATTCTAGAACTTGGAAGGGTCATGTGCAGAACTTACTTGGTTATGCATGCTCCATTTATTGTGTGTATAAAATGTTGAAGGTAAGTTTCTTTATCCTTCTAATGGATGATCTAGCTTTTAAACTGTTTTGTATGCATGTGAAACAGCTCTTGCTAATCAATGCTGGTTTTGTTAATACTTAATAAATATTTGAGACATAGATCAAATTCAAGAAGGTTTCTAATTTTTCTTTGAGTTCTTTACTCTTCTTAAAAAGAGTGTTTAAGTTTCCATATGGGTAACTTTTAGGTTTGAATGGTAATACTTTTAGAAGATTGAAAAGTAGATAACTGAATCATTCCTTAATGATACTACAAATTTTTCCTTTCGGTTGGAATAATTGTTTTAATAGAACAAATTTTCCTTTTCTAATCATCTCCCTTGTTTTGGTAACTAAATAGGAACACCTCTCTTTATAATTTAAGAAAATTCCTAGATACAGAACATATTCATACGACTAAAATGTTTCATCCAACCTTTTGAATGGTTCCTCTTATTCCTCTACAAGTTACCATTCAAAGCCTTAGGTTTTTGGGAGATCAGTTGATGAGTAAATTTGTTAAGTTCTTTCCTGATTGTTCATCTAGCTAGTTCGGTTTAGACAGTTATTCCTATGCAAGATAAATTGTTCTCGGTGTTCCTTAGTAAAAGTCTTCTCATTATTGTCATTGTGAACATGTGTAACTCTTTTTTTGTGCTCTATTTTTGCAGTCGCTACAAAGTGTTGTCTTCAAAGAGGTACCCACATGGGCTAATTTTATTTTGTTAAGTTATGTAGCACCAATGAGTCATTATGTTCACCTCTTACTGCTTAAAATTGCTAGTAATAAGCTTGTTTACAGGCCGGTACAAAAGACCCTGTCACGACGATGATCAGCATATTCTTGCGGTTGTTTGATATAGGAGTAGATGCCGCACTCCTCTCACAGGTTTGCCTTACCTTACCTTGCTATCTCTAATAACTGAGTAATTAAGCTAAAGAAATCCAATCTGGACGTTTTTTCGTCTATAAAATGTTTTCCTTTTTAGAATTGAAAGCCTAAAGCATTTATTTCTTCATAATTAAGTCACTTTCTCTGAACCTTTGATGGGATGGAAAGGTAGATGGTTAAAGAGATCAGAGCTATCTTAGGGCCTAGTTATATCCCTGACTGTTAATCATTATAAAGTAAATATATGCGTGTTTTTTGCTAAATTGTGAGACTTATCTCTAATTCTGTTTCTTTCTTTCTTGTTCGCAGTATATATCCCTGTTGTTCATTGGGATGTTGATTGTGATTTCTGTGAGGGGATTCTTGACGAACCTGATGAAGGTGAATTATGATTCTTGTTTTTCGATTTTTTCATTGGTGTGCCTCTATACTGTCATCTATGCAACCAAGCCTCTTCTGAATCCTTTGAATTTATGCAAAAACACATTCACATGATTGCTCATACAGTCCTTGATTTAGTTTCAATCTTGTCTCCCCACTATTTAAATTTAATCAAGCTACTTCTTAGGGGCAATCATGTTTTAAATAGTAGAATCTTTTCACTATTTAAGCTGCGATAATTGTTACCGTGTACTAGTCACATATGAGTATTTGTGATTGTAGTGGGAACAAAACAAACTGCACGCTGAATTTTTGGTTAATTTGAATGCTGTGGTTTTAGTTAATAAGTTGGAGTTTGTGGATGGTGCAGTTTTTCTTTGCAGTCTCGAGAGTGGGAAGTGGGTCTTCAAGCAATGTTGTGCTTTTCCTATCTGAAATCATGGGAATGTACTTTTTGTCTTCAATTCTTCTTATCAGAAAAAGCTTGAGAAATGAGTACAGGTACGCATAATTCTGATCATGAAGAAAATAATAATACCTTATATTCTTAAACAAAGGCTTACTGGCTTGTCTTGATTAGAGTTTTAGTGTCGTTGCTTTTATGTTCCGAGTCTAGTAATCTGCTCTTGGTCCATATTTTTGCTGTGTATGAAAGACCTGAGACTGGAATCTGAAGCTTTAGTGGTTTATTTTGGCAGGGGAATCATAACAGATGTGTTGGGTGGAGATATTCAGTTTGATTTCTATCATCGATGGTTTGATGCAATTTTTGTGGCGAGCGCTTTTCTTTCTCTCCTTTTGCTTTCCGCACATTACACGTCTCGTCAATCTGATAAGCACGCCATCGAGTAAATTTCTTATTCGATTCTGGTGCCTGAGAGAGTCCTATTATTATTTGGCCTTACACAAACTAAAATCAATTTACTACTAGCAATGGGGGCTTAGTGTATAGCTTACGATTGGCTATTTGTTTATTTTTGACGCTTATGTGAAAGATTAAACTGATCAGTTCAAAATTTCATACTTTCTTGTACCATTAACGTTGAATTATGTTTATTTGTACATTGCTCCTACTGAGGAAGTGATGATACGATTAAGTCAAGAAGATTTTCGATATTTGGATGTTCGGTTTTGCCAGTGCATGGACAACTAGTGAATATATGTATATAAATTGGGACTTTTAACTTCAAAAAAAGTCTCTAGCACATTAATCATAGAATATATTTTTTACAGTATCTTGCACATTAAAAAAGTCACTCATTTGTTATTTACAAACATGTTAATTTCATTCTTATTTTTACAAACATATACAAATTGTAACATAAAATACGTTGCGTGAGTAAGCTTAGTAATAAGTAATAACACACTTTTAAGTTTTTTTTTTTTTTTTCCCATAAGTGTTGCCTTTCATTTAAACCAAGAGTTGCAAAAGATACAACAGTGGAAACTTCCACTTACAACATAAGACAACATCAAAGTTAACAACAATGGATAATCAGAACAACAACCATAACCATGTTGCAATCAAAAAGTCATATCAGTTTAAAAAACAGAACCAGTCCTAATAGGTATGCCATACCAAAAAGTGTTCGAAGGATCATACCCATACTGAGTGTTATTCAAACCCATGAACTGCCAACATTGGACCAAGGCAGCCAACACCAAAAAGTGTGACAGAATTAGTAGAGTGCTTAACGTTTCTTGAGAGGTTTCATAATCCCTCCCATCATTTGCTCAGTTATCTTTTTTTCTCTTTGAGGATTCTCCAGATGCCAAAGTGTTACTAGGACCTGCAACATCACCTGCAACTTCACCTCTTCTTGAGGATTCACCAACTTCAAATACACGAGGAGTCCTTGATGGGATCGCTGCACCAGATGAGGGGGTAATATTTGAGTCTGAAAAAGCTTGTTGCCTTCTAGAAGGCTCCTGTGGAATAGAAATTGCACCATATTGGAAAGTGTTAGTCCTTGCAAAAGGAAGATATGGGCTTGTAGCAGCTAATTCCTCAGGATTCAAAGGAGGAGTTTGAAATCTTGGTGGAGGAGTCATAGGAGCTGGAAATGAGTTATCAGTCATCTGAGACTGAGAATTCATTCCAGACCTCAAAAGATCATCATGGAAGACAGCTCTTTCCCTTCCAAAGTTGTGTAGGCGATGACGATAAGGACAAAAGTTTCTGGTATGTGTAAACCTAAAACAACTGCTACAGATTCGCCTTAGTCTCTCATATTGAAACCGGATCAGAGCAGTTTCACCAGAGTCAAAAGTGATTCTTTGGAAAAACCTTAACCGATCAGAGATACCAAAGCGAATACGAACTCTAATATAAGCAATTTGAGTTGTGGTAGCATCATGATAATCCAAAGAGATGATTTCACCAAGATCTGAAGCTATCTCCACTGCAGTTTCTTCACAGACATACAGAAGAGGAATTCCACGCATTTGGACCTAGAGGTCAATTGTGGTTAGGAAATTCATAGCAGGAATTGGTTCCCAACGTTGAGAGGCCACGAACCAGTTATTAAATAACCATGGTTCCCTTCTTTGCACTGATAACATGTCAACCTCAAATTGGAATAAAACCTGAACATAGGTAGTATCCAGAATTCTTCCATGGACATGAGAAGTAAGACCCCATAATCTTGGTAGAGAAGCAATAACAGAGTTAAGATTCTGAACCCGAGGATTAAGGGGTCTAGCAATTAGACTAAGCCTGTTTCTTCCTTCAACTGAAGCATAAGCTTCTTGTGGAATAAACAAGGTAGGCTCTTCTCTACCTAAATGCATATGCTGCAATTCATCCCAAATCTCATCTGCCATGTTGTTAAGAGAGTCTAGAGAAAGGGGATTGGGGTAAAAGACTAAACACAAAAGCGAACATTATAAATAGAGAAGAGAAGGAAGGAAAAAAACAAAAGACTCAATATAAAATGAAAAACTTAGGAAAAAAGATAATCTATAGAAGATTGAAAAGAGAGAAAACGTAAAAAGAGCAGATTAAGTAGAAAAGAAATACTCAGAAAACAACAAAAGAAAACGCAAATAGAAGAAACAAAACTAGAAGAACCTTAACACTTAAGAAATCTAAAACCGACACCTAAGACAAAAAGACAAAAGAAGACACTAATCCCATTCTCCTATCTCCTAAACTCTTTCCTCCTCAAATAGTTTTTTCAGCCAATGAGGATAACCTCTAGCCACATATGATTGAATTCTATTACCAGTGATAACACTTGTGGTAATTTCCATAGCACCTTTGTTGCATTCAGCCGATTCCATGAGGAGAAACTAGTTAGGTTTTTGCTTCGTGTATTGCAACAACTCAGTAATATGACCATTTAGAATAGGCCACTCCTTTGGTTTGTGCAAAGCTTTTATGATTTCATAAGAAGAGGAAGCAAATGTGACTTTATCAAAATGATGAGAACCCATGCTAGCTAAAGCCCATTCCCAACTTCTCATTTTAGCATTAGATCTTGAATATACCTGAGAAAATGATCTTCGACTATGTAATAAGACTGATCCATGTGAGTCATGATAGTAAGATTTTTACTGTTCTCAATTCCTTAAATCACTATCATGTCATTGTAGTATTTAAGGTGTCAATCCATTTTAGGTGAGATGCAAACAGATGAGACGTGATCAGAAGTCACTAAGTCAAGCCAAGCAATTATAGGTTTTGGAGTTTCTAACAGTCCTAAGTGAACATGCAGAAAACAGAAATTCTAACAGAATTAGACAAAACACTCGACCACAACTGGCTGATGCCAGGAGTTGGGTGTGGTCGAGTAACAGGTCGAATAACAAACAGAAGATGCAACAGATATACTCTACCGTACAGTCTGTTGCCAGACACTGGGTGTGGTCGAGTATATGAGTGAAAACAGGTAAAAATGCAAAAACTAAACAATAGGCAACAAGAACGATTAATCAATAGCAATGTAAACAGAGAAATCAAATCGACGAGAAGTTCCTAAGGATGAGGTAATCGAATGAAGTGGTCTCCTTAACCTATTCAGATGGTTAACAAAGCGCAATCAAGCTATCCCTAAACAACAGGTTCAACAACAGATCAATTCACTATCGTAATAGAAACCCTCAAGCAAAGCTAGCCCAGACTAATTCCCATTAACGGAATCTAACTATGCAGGCAATACGATTCAACCTATTACAATCAATAAACGCTCTAAACGGCCAATCCCTTGGGATATAGACGAATAACTCTGACTCTAGTAGATCAAGCATTCCATCGAACACCTTCTAGGTGCGGGAATGCTTTGGATCGAATTCGAGTTGAACAGACAAAAATAAGCAGTAAACACAACTAGTCTAGAAGGGATTCAATCAATTCTAAAACTTAACCATCTAAAAGACTACGGATCCCACAACCATTCTATCCCATCCTTAAGAACTCTATGTCACTACTCAGACAACATACTCAAAGACATAATCGCGAATAACAAAGTAAATTGCATAAGTAAAGAGATTAAGAGTAGAGAAACAAAGTGATAGAAGAAATCAAATGCAGAATCTCAATATCGAAGTAACTCGAATTACAAAGTTGCAGAAGCAAAGCGGCGAAATGATAGAGTATACTAGGTAAAAACTCGATGAAAAAAACTAGATGTCAACTCTGGATGTCTCGGGACAAAACCCTCGAAGTCTATATATAGCAAAAACTAAGTAAAGCGATAAAGGAGATGGATCGTGAAACTACTCGATCGGCCCAAAGAGTGATGATGGGGCTCGTGATCGAGTAGAACTCCGAACCGCGACCAAACACTTCCTCTTCTCCTCTTCTCTTCCTTATGCTCAGTTTGTCTGGTTGAGTGCGGATTTGAGAAGACTCTGAAGCTGCGATCGAGTGCATGGTTGAGTGGTATTTGTGAGTAGTGACTGCGGATACTCGACCTCGTGGTCGAGTGTTGACATCGAGTATGAGGTCGAGTAGGTGGATCATGTGGAGATCGAGTGGTGTGATCGAGTGGTGATCGAGTGGTGTGATCGAGTGGTGATCGAGTGGTGATCGAGTGGTGTGAGCTGGTGTTACTCGACCACGGGGTCGAGTAGGTGAGGCTGGAAGTACTCGACCTCGTGGTCGAGTATCAGCTGATTGATTCCTGTTCGCTTCTTCCAATTTGATCGCCAACAGCTCCAAATCACCTGAAAACAACTCAGAAATGCAGAATGCATGCAAGACTAATGCAAAACACACCTAATCGTGCAAAGTGTGCAAAACAATGATGAATGATATGAAAGATGATTGAAACTAGACTCAAAACGATGATAAATGAATGCATAAAACATGCAAATTATAGACATATCAAGTCACGAACCACCCATGAAGCACCTGAAAAATGATTCAATTTAGACCATGCAAAACCAATGTTGCATTTCAGTTCTCCAGGGACTGGAGGTTGCCACTTTTTAATCTTCATTTCCTCACGTTTCTTTTCATTGTTAATCTGAGCTATACACCATTGATGACAGTCTTCATAAACCTTGTCTACAATACAATCTGTCCTTGGCCCTATTCCTTCAAAGAGGATCTTATTTCTGTTTTTCCATAATACCCAAAGAATCCAAGGACTGACAGTTTTCAAAGAGTGAGAAGGCTCTTTTTTCTGTGTCAGATCAAGCAAATTATTCATATTTGCATAGACAGAATCTCCAAAACCATTTTCTGAAGCAGGAAGATTCGAAATAGCCCAAACTTGACGAGCTAATGAACACTGAAACAAAATGTGGTTAATGGTTTCATGTTCTTCTCCACACATCAAACATCCATAGCAATATGAATACCTTTAGTCCTGAGTCTCGCTTCCACAACAACTGCTCCATTCAAAACTTTCCATAAGAATATTTTAATTTTTGGAGCAGTATGCAAACTCCAGATCTTAGCATACATGGGATTGATTGAAGGCTCAAACTTTGCTTCTTGAAACATTTTATGATGAACTTTCCTACTGATGAAATCATAGCCTGACTTAACCGAATATAAGCCATCAATAG